TCCCGCGTAAATTCATAACTCGGGGCTCTGAGATGCTAGAAAGCTGAAATTTTAAGGGAATGTTCCTCGCCCAAGTAAATCTCAAGAAGCTTAAACCCAGACATCGGGCATGCATCGTACCCGCGTGCGGGCCGGTGAAAGTTTTTTCCAGTAAGTTACTAACTCAGGAGCCAGGAAAACTAGAAAGCTGAAATTTTAAGGGGATGTTTCCTGCCAGTTCTGGTAGCCAGTCTTAATTTGTTTAGCTTGAAGCATTTGCGGAAAAAACCGATGCCGGTAGCGACAAAAATTGCGGGGAACTCTGCAAAAAACGCATCTTCGCACGGGCAACCCGTGCGTTGGCCAGTTATTACAATTGATTTGATCAGTGCTTCACTGACTAGTGGTCAGATTGTTAGCAATTCTGACGTTTGTTCTTTTTTTTTGGAAGAATTGTCAGCTCAGCGCCTTTCGATAGAAGCATTTGGCAAGACTTTAACTGTTTCAAGAAATCCTTAGCGCATGTTGAGCATCACCATTTCGTTTCGAATGTTCCACTCCTGGACTACAGTGAGGCATCTTACCGAATAGGGATACATAAAATAACTCGTGGATCTTGTCTAGTATCCGGCTATGAGCTGGTGATAATTCAGTTCAATCAGGTCGGTGTCAGATGCGCCTCAGGAAAATTATTTATAATGAAGAAGATTTCTTAGCACAGATCAATTGGAAACAGATGGAAAGGTAGGCGGTAGGGAGGGAGCGAAGCGGACGGGAGGAAGGTTGGTTGGGGTTCCAGTAACTGGACAAACACTTGTATGCGATTTTGTGAACATCAGCACTCAAAGCTTGTTTTTGTAGAATATAAGCAACGAATTTACCAAATTTTCGGTCAAAAAGCAGATTCCATTCATTGAACTGAACGGACGACAAATACCGGACAGTAATTTCTGCATCGAACATCTTACGCAGCATTTCAAGGCTTGTCTTTTTTTCATTGCTGGCATTTCTGTATGGATAAGTAATGAGCGACTCATTGTTGACTTTTATACTGAATGAGTCAAAATCGTCGAAGGCTTAATTTGGCTGAGATATAGTGTGCTTTTATTACACATCATGCCTTAATTTAGAGTTTGATGAAAACTGTTTTATTTTGGAGGCGGGGGGGGGGGTTGAAAAACCGTCGAAATCACCCAGAAAGTCAGTGTAGGTATTCTACGTTAGTGATATTACCGTGTTGTTCCCATACACTAGGTGAGGCTATTCTAAACCGTACGATCATGAGCTGTATATCTACATTTACTACCCATTATTTTTTCGATGTATGTGTGCTATCTCTTCGGGGCAGCCAGAGCGGTCACCTCGCTGACATGATCTCGAAAAATCACTTCCGATGTCCTTCACTTCATCGCTGTCTCCAGCGTAGCTAAGAGCTGCTTATGTCAGTTTCATTCTTATATACGCACGTTAATTTCTTCAACACAGTGGTATTGAATATGCAAAATTCAGCTAAAAGCATTAGCTATGCAGCTAATTTTAAACCAGACTGATGAATTTTTGAGCTACTTTTCCTATTCAGCTTTAATCCTTGTTTGAGCATTTCTTGCCTAAAATTTTTCAAACTTTTGTATTTTTTCGCCAAATTTTGCATACCTCAAAATCTACGGCAATTTTCTGATCTTTTCAGGAATCTTTTTTTAATTTTAAAAATTCAAAAATTCTTACTTCAGGTTGATCTCGATGAAAGGCTAAATGCACATGAAAAAGCTGAAGCGCGAGCTTTCACATACCTACTGGAGGAATCAATACGATGGTAAGGAAACGTGTGATTTTTTGAAAATTTCAGATGTGTCTATGGCAACGAGAAAAGTAAAGGTCAAAATATATAGAAATCCTAGTAGACTGCGTTCTCGATCTCAATTTCATCATAAAATTTTCTTTTTTCCAAACGAAAAGTGTTGCTCCCTGTAGACGGATTCAGAGATGCTCAACATCAATATCTTTTTATAAATTATATTGTAAGATAAAGTTAACGACATATTCATAAAATTTGCTTATAAGCAATTCTCGGAAAAATGAGTCACTGACAATCATTGCCGGCTGTTGGTACTTGCTGCCACTTCGACCACATTCAAGTGCATTCGCATCTTAGGGCAATGGACACGTAGGAATTTTAACTGTAATATTGTTTCAGGGCAGTGGCATACAATCGCGGAAGAGACAACAAATTCTTTGCCACAGAGCAAGGCTTCCTCAGACATTTGACTGGCGCCAAAAAATTTTTCTTTCAGCACGTCTTTAGAGAACGAGTGCGCAAAAAGGTATGTTTTCGGAATGTTTGGAAATTTGTAATTTTTCTTCAAAGTTTATTTTATAAGTAAGGTTAGATAGGAAGCAAGAATCACATATGCAAGAAAGCCATATCATGCAGATCAAAATTACGTACGAAAAACCATTTTTCCTCTTGCAAATTCATTTTTTTTGTAAAAGATTTCTGAAGATTTTGACGAACAAAATTCATTCATTTCAAAAAATTTTCTGATAAAATTCTATTTTCTGTGTTATTGCTACGAGTGGGATAACAATTCGCCTAGAATTTGCTACAAAACGCATAACGTCTCCAAGTAGTCCAAGAAAAAGAAAGCTATCGATAGTTTTAACAGCGGATAGTTGTTTTTCACAAGTGCTGCCACTCAAATCACTTCCAAGTGTTCCTGTATGGCAAATTTTTGGATAAAGCAATAGCTTGCCAAGAATGGTTTATTCTAGTCGTCTGAGTGAGTCGTCTGTAGAAATCCTCAACCGTCGCCACAAAATGGTCGAGCTACAGTCGGAAGATAGCGTTGGAAGATAGCGTTAAACGGCAATTTCGGAAAATGCAGCGTTGAAGGATGCATTCCGAGACAATGCACCGAGATGGTACTGTTACCCAGATATTCGTCCAAGACAAGAATGCTTGGCTAGCCTCGCTCAAAAACTCTACCGAACCGGGACAATGCAATGTCCATCTCGATCCAGCCACATCACTTGCCGCCTTGAATAAGAATGATGCAGTTGTTGGTCATCGACAATTGGCCTTGCCAACTTCTCTTCGTAGCTTCGTCAAGAATAGCACAGTGGAGGAGAAACGGAAATATGGCGAGGAAATGAAAAATAGCAAAGCTTCACGAAAGAACTTTGAAAGGGTTCTCCTCCCTGTCCCGCCCGTCTCACAAAGTGTGGGGTTTTGATTGTAAATTTTGGCAAACAAACGGTTTGGTGAATACTTGGTGTTAGGAATAAAGTG